AAGATATGGGTCATTAGGAATATGGGAAGTTTAGTTTGTCTAACATACACTATTTTCAAAAGGTAAATTCCGCTAGGGCTTTATTTGGAATTCTACATTGGGACATAGCTAGGCTGCATTTGTATGTCACTTACCTTGAAGTTATATTCCCATTTACCTGCTTTCTGATAATGTAAATAAAAGAGATTGGTTAAGGAAAGACTAAATAGATGTTTCTATAATTTCATTAAATATCAATCTAACATACTTTACCTGCTGGAAAGAGATTTCCTTGTACTGTGGCTCTAAGGAACATTTCATACAGATGGATATAGAATTCATAACAAGTATTTTCTCAGTCACATGCAAAACAAGACATTTTTAGCATCATATTTTGCTTCCCTTTTTTCTTTGTTGCACAGTGTTTGCTGAGCATAAGTGTTCTAACTTAAAATTAAATTATTACATTGTATGTAACTACCTGGGTGTTCAAAAAAATGCAATTAAGTGCACATATTGCAGAAAAATGTAAATTTCAAATAGATTGGAACATAATTGTGAGATTCAAACAGTATATAAGAAACATGAATAAAATGGAATAGACCAGTAACAGATTTGCATGGAAATGTTTAACATTTAACTGAAAGATGAATTCAGATTTTTCTTTTGTGTTTGAGCTGTGTCAATACAAGTGTAAAATATTAATTAACGCATCATGATAGAGTAGTCATATGACTCTCTGTTTACCTAGATAGAACTATTTTCCTATGATTTAGGAAAGGAGAAATCCAGCAAATAATTGCTGGTATTTAATTATTTATTTGTGATATTGCACATTTAGTTTATTAGATCATCTGCATTGATGACAAGTAATTATACATATAGTGTTTCAATTACTTTGCGAAGCAATGTATGGTGATAGAAAAATGTCAGGCTGATTGACAGAAGCTGAGCTGGACAAACACAGACAATATCGACAAACCCTGCTCCAGTTTACTACTGTGAAAAATCGTGAAACTGTCTCTCTTCTATAAGGCCATTATAAGGAAGGTGTCAAAAAAAGTTCTATTTTAACCCTTAATTCATTTTATTTCCTTCTCTTCTCTCCTTGTTCGCCTGAGAAGTATACAGAACCAAAGTAGTTGGGAAGATTCCATACTTTGAGGCTTTGTAACATTGCTTCCATTTTTCTGTGGATATTCTAACCGTTCTGCTCCTTTTTTATGTCTTTTCTTACTAAGGCTGAAAGGACTGTGGGAGATAAGGTGCTGGAATACTTCTGCTATTCACACTAGGAGATTCACAATTGCACTGATAACTAGCTTTCTTTGAAAGTTTTATTAGGATCTAAATCCTAGCTCTGCTGCTGGCAGGGTAATCATTGTGCTTTAGCTTTTGCTTGATAAAGGCTGAACTGAGAGAACTTAAGATACATTTTACCTCTATAATTCTTTGAACTTCTCCAATTTTTATTTGTCTTGAAAACTGTACCACCTCATAGGTTTCCCAAAGAATAATTTCACCCTTGCTAGAAGATGATAAAAACTGAATAAATGTAGTAATAAGAAGCATTTGTCTACGATCCCGAGTCATAAAATAAGAATAGAGCTGCCAAGTGATGCCTTGGTTTTCAGGTCTCAGCACCTCTCATCCTTTGCTCCCATTCCAAGCCTTGCATGTTTCCAAAGTGTATTCATGTCTTCCCTAACTTTGCAACATTTTCCAGCAATGCACAACAGAAAATGGAAAACACTGAGAGCTGATCACAATCTAAAGCAAATTTTAGTGACTGTATAAATAACTCATGGGATTTTGTTAAGGCAGAGACTTGGATCTAGTATGTTAAGCATAGTGTCTCGGATTCAACATTTCTAACTATTTCCCAGGAAATGCTGCTAATCCTAGAATGTGTTATTCTTGGACAGAAAAAGGAAATAATTAAAAGGTAAAATTATCTATTTTAATTTCTTCTCTTTCTTTCTTTCTTTCTTTCTTTCTTTCTTTCTTTCTTCTTTCTTCCTTCCTTTCTTTCTTTCTTTGTTTCTTTTTTTTTTATCAATATTAAGGCTTGAACTGAAGGGCCTCATTCTCTGCTTTATAGCTCAAGTTGGTACCATACAACTTGAACAACGCTCCCATTTCTGGTTTTCTGCAGGTTTTCTGAAGATAAGCATCTTGAAGATTTATCTAGGTTGGGTGGCTCCATACTATGATTCTCAGATCTCAGCCTCCTGAGTAGCTAGGATTATAGAAGTCAGCCACCAGCTCCAGACTAATTATTTCCCTTTTAATGACTTCAAAAATGCAATCAAAGTTGATTGGGCCATTGAACACACTCCTAATCCCAGTTACTTGGGAGATAGAAGTAAAAGGATCATGGTTCAACACCACTGTGTCAAAAAATTATCTTCAAGGACAGACTGAGTGTGGTGTGACAAGTGTGAGTGGTGATAATGAGAGACATACCTCCTAAGACGCTGGAAGATGGGAGAGATAAAGAACAATGGAGGAGGCAATACTGATCAAAATGCTTTGCATTTATAAATTGACCTGCAGAATTGAAACCTCTTTGTAAAAATGCTTAAAGGTAATAAAATTAAAGCTAGTACCGGAATAAAAACCAATGATTAAATTCAGAAATGTGGTGTATATTCCCTCATTTGTTCCATCCTCCTATATCTTTATATTATGAATTATACATTGAATTTGGTTATCACATCATAAGATCAGTTGAACATCTCATTTTGAACATACATGTTTATATGAGAGTGAATTAAATTATGAAATGTAATTATTAACTTGTGGGAGATAAATGTCAGATTACTTATCTAAAATAAAATCTATCAATATTTATATCATAAAGCTTTCTTGTGTGTACTCCAGAGCAATATTGAAGTGCTCTGAAGTACTGCAGCACCTAACCACTGATCATGTGAGAGGACTGATGTCCCAAACCATTACTTTATCTTAGATGAAGCTACATTTTATCCCTCCTGCTTAGTATTCAATAACCAGATAATATAAACAATAATACGCAGTTAATTTCCAACCAGTTATTTTAGAAGTGAAGGACTCTGAGTTATGACTAGGACCCATCAAAAGTTACATAGGTCCTGGATGCCAGAGGCTAGATACTCAGGAGGCTAAGATCTGAGGATCTTAGTTTGGAGCCAACCTGGGCAAGAAAGTCAGTGAGACTCTCACCTCCAATTAATGACCAAAAAGCTGGAAGTGCAGTTGTGATTCAAGTGGTAGAGTGCTACCTAAAGGAAGCTCAAGGATAGTACCCAGATCCTGAATTCAAGCCACAGGACTCACACACACACACACACACACACACACACACACAGAGTTACATAGAAGTTTAAAGATTAACAGTGCTACTGTGGCAATTAACAATTCCTTGTCTTATACAGAAGTAAAATCTTAGTATCAATAAAAAGCAAAACCTCTTCCTGAAAAAGACAGTCTCATTTTTTTGTTATTATCTCAGTGAAGTCTGGTGGTGTTGGACAAAACTCAGTACAAGAATAAGTTTTATTTTAAAATAAAATACTACGGAAAGGGGAGGGCAAAGAGGGTAAATAAGATCAATAAGATCAATATGCAGGTGGGGCAATGTCATAATGAAACCCATTGTACTGTACAATAAATTCAAGTAAATACTGTTTGCAGAGCTTGCACTTTGTACACTGGTCTATAAGTTTCCTTACAGGAGAAGGAGGAGAACACTGATTAAGGGTCTAGATTTGCTCTCAGGTAACACTGAGGAAAGCTCTCCTGTAGATTTAATGTAAGGTATCATGATAATAAATCATAGCTGGAGGAAAAAGAAAACAACCAGTGGCTAAATGGTTGAAGGCAAAAGAGGGAGTGGATCACATTGGTACACCACAGAATGATGCAGGGTGTTTGTCCTTAATGACATCCCAGAAAGATGTTGTGTCCCAAGAGTCTAGAAATATTGAATATACGTTAGTCACCAAATTAGTCCAACATAATCAGTTTGGAATCCTATCAGAATTAATTCATAAAAGTATTTCTGGTATGCAGTTTAAGAAACTACAAAGTCATGAAATAAAAAAAGAACTCTCAAGTGTTTTGAAAATAATTGGTACAAATGTCAGCAATGCCCAAAACTCTGCAGGTTAGTATTTAAAATATTATTCATACAGAACATTTTAGGCTTTCATGGAACACTGCCCCTGTGAGATTGGTTCATGTTTATTGTATCATTTAGCTTGTATCATCTGCTCTTGCAAAAACATAGCTTGTATTATTTGCTTTTGCAAACATATTACGGACCATTTAATAATACTGGAAATTTGGCACATATGACCAGTCCATTTTGCTAGGCAAAGAGAACTGGAAGACAAGAAGTTGTTTTGGAGGCTGCTACTTTTGTAGAGGAAAATATTTCTTTTTTATTAGCTCCATCTGATGGCTGAACTGATTTTTACACACTGCCTGGCCATACATTCCTACTAGTAATTGTAGTATTTTCTGTGAGGAAAGTATCCTATATAGATGAGGGCTGTTTTGCTGATTACATGTTTAATTGGCTTATGTAATTTTATGAAAAATACTATGGTAAAAGTAGAGAAGCATTGGAAATAGTCTTTTCAATAATGAGTACATCTTGTTAAGCCTGTCAAATTTTTATTTGAGTTCATCAAGTGTAAGTATGAGAGATTTAAAGTGGCACCAAATTAAAACTTTGAAAATACAGACATACTATCAATACTGTTTTCTGTGTACATCTGCCTATGAGCCTTGGTTGGACAAGCAGTTTGTCCCTTGTGTAATTTATGCTGCGTATGTACATGGAGATGATAAATTTCAGCTGTGATTATTCATGTTTTATATGACTGGGTCAGCTTGGCAATATTGTACTTCTAGTGTATGCCCTCCTAATACGATCAGATACGGCTTTTCATGCTTTAGGTATGATACTTTATTGTAGCAAAACCAGCTTTAATTCAATTGTTCTATAAATTCATCACCAAATGGTAGTGCTGTACCTCAGCGTCATAGTCCCACAGCTGGTTTCCTCTCATATGGTGGCATTTTAACATGATCACAGGTCCATTGAGCCTGGAGACATCCAAGCACAAGTCATCAGTTCGGATTTCTTTGTCAGCAGTGTATGAAAACACCTGAAAATACATAATTCAGTAAACAAATTAATATCTCCTTTTCACCATGTCACAGGGTAGCAGTTCTACCTGGGGAAATTTGTGAAATGATTCCAAGTGACCTCTGCTGTGTGTTCTTGAGAATGCTGCTTCAACTCTGTTGACTTTCCGCCTCAAATGCAAAAATACAGAGAGCACATAACTTTTAGAGGATTTTGATGAAGCTTGTTACTTGCTAGTTTCCTGCAGAAAATTTGGATTATAAATCTTCAAGCATGTTTTTAAACTGTATGAAACAAATAAGTGATGGCTCCTGTTTTGGCCATTGTGTGACCAGTTACAGCCTTACAGACATAATGATAGCTATTTTGGAGCAAATATTTCTTTCTAATATAACTGTATCTTGGAAATCATATTAAATATCCTGAGTAAGTTTTTGAAGATTTTAGAATTACCTTCTTTGGGCATCTTGTTAGTGATAGACTCTTTCCTATGTAGTTTTCACAAAACAATTACAGCAGTTCTCAGGATAGCCAGGGTATGTTAATCAGGATATCCAAGATTATAGACTCATTGCTAGAAAATTCAAATGGTAACTATATTTTATTTCATGTTAAACTTAGTGTGGATACTTTCATATATTACTGATACTTGAAATTATCTTACTTTAACCTTTGTGCTGGAAATATTTGCTAATTGCCTTGTCATATAAGTAGCTTTATCTTGAACAAAGAAATCTGTAGATAACCTTCATTACTTCTTGGCAAAATGTAAAATCAAAATTTATTTGTTTTTGTCTATGATAAAGATCTCACTTTTATACTTGACCATTTCTTATTCCTTTTAATAATAAAAATTCACAGCATGGTAGTACAAGTCTGTCTTCGATTTGATCAGGAAATTTAGATTCGATTTCCATTAGTTATTTATTTTATCTCCCTTACATTTTATCTGCAGTTTTTAATATCCTGTTGTAAGCCATGGCTCATGGAACTCATTTTGAGTATACTGAAACAGTGTACAGGAAGTACTTGCAGATGACCAGGTATTCAGATAGCATTTGGTTGTCAATAGTTACTGTTTTCCAAACCAGGAGCTAATCCCAGGTTTTAGAGTTGAATGTTGATTACTGCTTTGATAAAATACCCAGTTCCTAAAGAATAGGACAGGAGTTCAGTAGAATGTATGCCTGCCTGCCTGTGTCCACCCTGTGGACCACAGAACTGAGAAGTTCTTACATCTGATGAGTTTCCTGACTTCATCTTCTACTATCTCCTCTCTAGATTCCCTACTCCTGAGTTCCTTACAACTGTGGGGACAACCTCAAATGCCTCACTGGTTTTCTGAGGAAGTAATGGTCCCCTATTGCTGCTATTGCATGTTACAATACACATGAAGACTGTCTCGGGTTGGACATGTAGCTCCCAGCACCAGCCTTCCCATTCCCCGGTGTTATAGGTAAAACCTTTATGTCTGGCTATAATGCAAACTTGCTTACCAATGAAGGACTATAACTTAGATTAAATTATTACACATTGATGACCATATGAATTGATTTTCTCATTAGCAAACTCTCAATTCTGTGCTTTTTTTTAACCAAAAAAGGAAACTATTCATATGCCATACAAGTTACTATACTCTACTATAGTTATTAACTATAAGATCCAAGGTACTATATCATTTAGAACCAATACTCTTAAAAAACATTGAATCACACAAATCTCAGATTTACAATATGTTTTCAGTTTCTCCACTTAAAAATAACAGTTAATAGCAATTGATTCAAAGTCCCTGTTGTGAGGTTAACTAAGGTGAGTAGAAGCAGTAGAAAATGATTTCTGTGCCCTTCCTCCCATTAGTTAGGAACTAGGAAGTTACCATTAAGAACACAACATGATGACCTGTAAACGAAAATCATGTGTAATGTATTTCATATTCGTTACGCTTGATTACTGTGACATTTCATTAATATTCCTAAAGCTACATACCAACTTAAGTATTTAGTGTATAAGGAGAATTCTTTATATAATTGTACATTCAATAATTTATAGTGTTTTGAACATTTTTTTATATTTGGTGTTTATGTTGTCTAAACACATAACATTATGATCTATTTTAGTACTATTTTATGTTATGATGTAGTCAAAAGCATAAAAAATCCTGAAAGGTGATTTTTGCCCAGATTTTTAAGTTCCAAGAGTACTCTCTACTCCCTCTTGTGGATCTGATGATTATTGTACCTTCTAGAGATTTTTGAGTCATCATGACTCTGTTTTTGTTGTTCCTATTGCCTTAGTTTTAGAGATCTGTCAAAGTTGTCAGAGACTGGGTAGTACAAACAACAGATACTTATTTTGTAATGGGCCAGAAGTCCAACATCCAACTGCTGGTTGAGTTAATTTCTCCTGGCCAGTTTTTCCGTCTTATCTGGGAGGTAAGCATTTTTACCCTGGGTTCACCTGGTTTTTACTGTGTGCCTTTCTGTGCCCTAAATTTCTTTTTGTTAAAGTGATATTAGGTCTCCCCACTAAAAACCATATTTACCTTAATTATCTCTTTAAAGATCATAAATCCCCAACCACAGTCACATTCTGAGGTTTGTGAGTGAGAAAGTTAATTTATAAATTGAGCAGTTTCAAAATTCAGCTCATGAACTCTATGAAATTATTGAAAGAAAACATACCATTGACTAGAGTGAAAGCTGTAGTGCATGGTCTTTTTGCTTATTTCTCTAAGTTTGCTTAAGATCCAGTTCAGAAACTAAAACCTGTTCTTTAAGTATCATCATCCAAAACCCTGAATATCATTTAATATAACATTTTCTCCCTTTCTCTACATTGGGCCCACTTTAATTTGGCAGCCAGGATGAAAAGAGATATTTTTCTTCCCCTGAAGTTTCTTTTTCTCTGTGGTCCTGCCCACTCCCCAAGGCCATCCCCCACCCCCCTCCAAACTGTTTATTACCTTTTATCCATCCAGGTGGTGAACTTGTCGGAGAGGTCAAAGTCAAATGCTTTACAAGGACCTCCTTTCTCTCACCGGGTAGATATTTAAAGCACTCTGTCCTGAGAGGGTTGTGATTTTAGAGATTCCCACCCCAGTGCTAATGAGGCAGACAATAATGCATGTTCATTTTATGATTGGACTAACCCTGGGAAGTATGCTGGCGGCAGGGCGGGAAGCCCAGGCCCCTCCCTGCAGGCCTCCCAGCCAGGCTTCATCATAAGGTGTGAGTCCTCACACCCTTGCCACACTTGCCATGGCAAGGAGCATACAACAACTCTCAAAGTAATGTCCTACACACAATAGAGCCTTGAAATGCAGCATGTACTGTTAAAAATGAGGGAGAATTTCAAGATGCTAGGGTCCTGTGTCTACAAGAATTGTGTACCCACTAAACGGCCCCTGCATTCAGTTGTCACTTTGTAGCCCAGATCTTAGTTCCTCCTCTTCAGAGAGGTGACAACTGGCAACTACTCTCTGCACAGAAAATCCTACAATCTTCCTCAAATTCTGAAGCCTCCGTGTGTGTGTGTGTGTGTGTGTGTGTGTGTGTGTGATATTTACTTCTTTTAAAATACTATTTTCTTTTGATACTTTTTTTTTACTGGAACATTTGTGCTGTGATCTCTGTCATGAGCTGTTGTATCATCTGGTTTTAGCACTGTGGACTGCAAAGTAAGGACAGTGTTCTGTTGTACAGGATCCTTGGCTGCTTCAGCAAACGACTCAGGAACTTAGCGCCCTCTGCTGGCTTTGTCTTTTAAAAATGTTACTATATTGTAAATGTGATGTACAGAGAGGTTACAGTTAAATAAAGCAGGTAGTGAGTACATTGTTCAACAGTGTTACCCCTTCTCACATTTTCTCCTCATTTCTACCTCCTGAACAACCCACAAGTTGTAGATTTCCTTTCAAACATAGTGTCTAGTGAGAATCACTGCTGCATTTGTTCACCCTTTGTCCCACCATTTCTGTGTTTCCCTTACCCTCCCCCAGATAAACTTACATACAAGACAAAAGGTACAGAAAACAAAGACAGTGACAAAGGAGAAAAAACAAAAAAATACTATTACTAGGAAAGCAAAATAACAGTTTCTTTCATTGGAGAATTAGACAAATTATGGGAGAGACGATAGATACCTAGATGCAGATATAATTTTATTCTATTTCTCCCAGTTTTTAAATTAATGTATACTTGAAAGAAATACTTTAAATATATGGAAATATTTAGTGTATATTCACACTGTCCACACTATATTTGATTCAGCATTATTAAATGAATTGTTATTACCTTATCTTTAATTTCTTTTTCAGGACACATTTATTATAAAAGTTCAAAGTTTGAGTATCTCCATATATCTATATACTTCAACTGCTTCTCTGCTTCACTTTTTTTTGGGGGGGGCTTGAACACTGAGCCTGGGTGCTGTACCTCAGAGCTTCATCTCAATGCTAGCACTCTACCACTTGAGCCACAGTACCACTTGCTGTTTTCTGATGGTTACTAGGAGGTAAGAGTCTCCCAGGACTTTCCTGCTCTGGCTGACTTTGAATTGCGATCCTCAAATCTCAGCCTCCTGAGTAGCTAAGATTACAGATATGAGCCACTGCTGCTTGGCTATCTGCTTTACTTTTTAAGTGAAGAAATAACAGGATTTAAGCAAAAGGCCCACATGCTTAGTGGCAGTCTCTCTTACTCCATCATCATCTGTTTGCTTCTGTCTTCCTAGTTATTGTACTCTCTATAATCTGATCACCACAGTTAGTTGACTTTTGTACCTTCTTAAGGCTTTCATTAGATATTTTGAGTACAAGTTAAGTTGAAAAATCTGCCAAGTACTATCTAAAAGGATACTGAAAAATAACAAATTATAAAGACATTCTCATTTGATAAAAATCTATCTGAGGAAAATGCATGATAATAAATGGAAAGTGTTTCATGAACATAATTAAGGCTTTTAGCAAAACTCTGACCTACTTTTTTATATTTCTTTGTTTTTAATGCCAGTACTGGGGCT